TTTTACTGAGAGCCAGTCACATGACTCTGAATGCCCACACCAGGCCCAGGTAATCCGATGTGAACGTTCCGCCCTGCATTGCAACAGCCCCTGGCTAAGTTATTTATGCTTTCTGAGCTGCAGTTCCTGCTCTGTAAAATGAGGGATCATACTGACTTTGCAGTATTGTTTCAAGAATGAAAATGAAATAATCTGTGTGAGGAGCCTGGAGTTTAAAAAATAAGCAACAGTGGTTTCCTCTCCTACCCCTACTCCTTGAAATGATCAGACATTTTTTTCTTACTTTTAAAAAAATTGTTTTATTTTCAGCTGGGCTTGGTGGCTCAGCCTGTAATCCCAGCACTTTGGGAGGCTGAGGTGAGTGAACTGCCTTAGCCCGCGGGTTCGAGACCCGCCTGGGCAACTTGCCGAGACCTCATCTCTATAATAAATCAAAAAATCAGCCGGGCGTGGTAGCGCATGCCTGTAATTCCGGCTACTTGGAAGGCTGAGGTGGAAGGATTGCTGGAGCTCAGCAGGTCGAGGCTGCGGTGGCCGGGAGCGGCCACTGCACTGCAGTCTGGGCGACGGAGTGAGACTCCAACTCAAAAAAAAAATTGTTTTATTTTCAACCTTCACACTAAATGCAACAGATCAGAAATTTAATGCCTTTAAGGAACCCTGCCGTCAACAATTTATCAATTCTTTTGAAATCTGACTCTATTTTGCAGAGAATAAGCCCAAAATAACAAGTGTTTTTCTCTTCATTTTTTTCTCCCCAGTGGTTTATTGAGGCCTTGGACTTCTGAACACTATTTGAAACTTGAAGTTAAAGGCTTAGAGTTAAAATATTGAAGTCATGAGGCTGGGGATCCTATGTAAGATCTTCTTTCAAAACTTCTAATTTTTTTTTTTTTGAGTTGGGATCTCACTCTGTTGCCCAGGCCAGAGTGCAGAGGCATAATCACTCCCGGGCTCAGGTGATCCTCCCACCTCAGCCTCCCAAGTAACTGAGGCATGCACCATCACGCCCAGCTAATTTTTAAATTTATTGTAGAGATGAGGTCTCGCCAAGTTGCCCAGGCGGGTCTCGAACCCGCGGGCTCAGGCAATCCACTCACCTCAGCCTCCCAAAGGTGCGGGATTACAGACTGAGCCACCGAGCCCGGTTTAAATTTTTTTTGTAGAGACAAGGTATTGTTATGTTGCCCAAGCTAGTCTTGAACTCTTGGGCTCATGCGATCCTCCCATTTCAGCCTCCGAAAGTGCTGGGATTACAGGCATGAGCCATTGCTCCCAGCCAATGTTACTTATCATTTTTAATAAGACACGCTATCCCTTCCACAAGGGAAGCAGCAGAAGCCTGTGAGCAGATGGAAAAGGCTCAGTGGCGTCCAGAATCCTGTGGGCAAATGAGACTCCCAGGCATTCTGTAGGTCAGGTTCTCATTTGTACTATTCAAATGTAAAGTCTGCTCCCAATCCTCCCCTTCCCGGTGGCGATGCCTTCATACAATGCCCAAGGTGAGGTCAGCGCCAGGGATAGGACAAGGAGCTGATTCTATGTGAGGCTGTCTTGAGACAGGGCCAAGCTTGCTTCTCAGTCACAAGTTCACATGAAGGGTAAGCTCAGCTAAGAGCTCCTTCAAGTTTCGTTGGAGTCTGGCTCTTGCTTTCAAGTCAGAGAAATTGGCCAGGTACGGTGGCTTACCTCTGTAATCCCCGCACTTTGGGAGACTGAGGTGAGAGGACTGTTTGAGCCCAAGAGTTTGAGACCAGCCTGGACAACATAGACCATATCTCTACAAAAACAAAAAAAAATTAGCTGGGAGTGGTGGCATGCACCTGTAGCCCCAGCTACTCAGGAGGTTGAGGCGGGAGGATTGCCTAAGCCCAGGAAGTTAAGGCTGTGGTGAGCCATGATCGTGCCACTGCCCTTTAGCCTGGGTGATAGAGTGAGACACTGACTCAAAAAAAAGTAAGAGAAACCATTCCCTCCCAAATCCCTCAGCACTGAAGAGACTAGGCTCTTAACATGTTCTACTCATTTCAGCATTTCAAACCAGAAGAGTCTGGGACAGCAGGAAGGTCACACAGCTGCCTGAGTTGAAATCCTGGCTGTGTCATGTACTGGCTGTGAGGGTTCCTTAGCTTCCGTTCTCAGTTGCCTTCACTATAAAATGGGATAATGGTCTCTACCTCTCAGAATTACAAGAAAGCTTAAGAGAAATCACAAACAAAAAGCATACTGTTAAAAATATAGCCAGCTGTCAATATATTTGCTATTATTTCAACTCCTTATTTTCCTAATTGCTCTTCCCAAAAAAAGATCATGGACATTTCACCCACTATTTTATCTCTTTCCCTCCAAGGAACTATCTGGCGGGAGGTAGCCAAGGAGGCAGGAAGGAAAGCAAACAGTCTGCTAAACTCATAAGTGGTGTGACCAGAGCATGCATGACAAAGCCCGGACTGACACTCTAGTCTTCAGGAAGTATGAGCTAGACTTTGATCCTGAATGGTCATGACCAAGTGTGGTGTCATTGTACCCACGACTAGAGTCAAGTGCCCAAGCCGACAAAGACAAAATTTATCCAACAGAAACTGTCTTATTCTTTTCACTGGAATATTCATTCTTTTCAACAACTATCTGAAGCCCTGTTCTAAGTCCGGGGAATAAGATCGGGAAATTCCTGCCCTCATGGGGGAAAGTCTTCTCATCCCTAGATGTAACCAGCAGAATCATCATCCATTCAACACACATGCGGCTTAGAGAAAAACAGTGGGGGCAAACCCTTCGGGTCCCCTCCCACTGTGGGAGCTTCTCTGTCCTTTCAATAAATCCTACTTTCTCACTTAAAGCCCCCCCACCCCAAAACAGTGAAGATAACCACTCCATAAACACTGGCTTCCATGTGCTGTGCTGGTCTTGTGCCAAACACGCAACATGCACCATTCATCCTCACAGCAGATGGCGTGAGCAGTCTCCTACATGAACAGTCTCATGTAGGCAGTGCCATTAGTCCATTTTGCAGATTTAGAAACTGAGGCTTAGAAAGGTTAATCATGTACTCAAGGTTCCATGGTGAATACGTGGTCAAGTCAGGAATGGTTCAAATCTGTGCTCTTAATCCTGACTTAGGTTACCGCCATGTACTTCTCCAGAGTTTTCCTTCAACTGGCTGTGGAGAGAGGTTGAATTTGGTCTAGCCTATGCTGCCAGCCAGATCCTTCTAATATTTGTCTTCAGCCTGGGTGATAGAGTGAGACACTGACTCCCTAACCCTAACCCTAACCCTCAGCTGCTAAGGAAGCATGAACGACTCAGGCTTTATAGAGAAGATCAAGTCTTCAACTGAGACTTAAGGGCTTTTAAGATTTAGTTTCGACCTATCTTTCTAGCTCCTCTCCTACCCTAGGGTCAGTGGGGCTTTTCATGCCTTCCTAAGCGGCTCAGATGCTGTTCCACCCTGTACCTGTTCACTCCCAACACACGTCTTCCTCTCTGCCACCAGTAACCATTAAGAATTCCAACCTATTCAGGCACTGTGGCTCACACCTGTAATCCCAGCACTTTGGGAGGTTGAGGTGGGAGGATCACTTGAGTCCAGGGGTTTGACATCAACCTAGGTAACATAGCAAGATCTCATCTCTGCAAAAAAATCAAAAAATTAGCTGAGCACAGTGGCTCATGCCTGTAATCCCAGCTACTCGGAAGGCTGAGGCAGAAGGACTGCTTGAGCCCAGGAGGTCAAGGCTAAGGTGAGCCATGATTGTGCCACTGCACTCCAACAGAGTAAAACCCTGATTTAAGAAAAAGAAGAAAAAAAAGAATCCCAACCCCTCATCTGGACCACCTAGGAACGCAGCCCCTGTGAGGCTCGTCCTGATCCCATCCCCAGCCCAGGAAGATAACTCCGAGCTCTCCAACCACCTGGCCCTACAGCTGCTCAGATATCAGCTCTATTAGCTTAGTTGACTCATCTGACTTCCTGCCCAATTCTCACAGCACTTAGCCACTGATTGAATCAGGCTCACTCATGGTTTCCAGCAAACAATGAGGGAGAGGAGATACCGAATATTAAGAGTATATTATTTTTGTCAACCCCTAGTTCTTCATTCATTTTACAGGTTCTCTCATATATTCCAGATTGCATGTGTTCAAGACACCCGAGCACACTGTTATGTAAAGGACTCATGCAGCCACTGGAAACAGAAACACAGGGGTCCCAAGGCTGTGGGATGGTTCTCTGTATGCCAGAGGCCACTGAAAAACATATCAGTTGGGGTCTGTCTTTAGAACGGAATCCAGAGACAGATTACATTAAAAAGCTTTGGGCATCATCTCCATCACCACCATCATCATCTTGAAAGAAGAGATAAAATGATCAACTCTATTTCTCATTAAGATTCCATTGGCGAATATAGCAGCGATCTGGGGGTCTTTTGATTTAAGACTCACCTTGCCCAAGTCCATACCTGAGGACAAGATGCTGCCCACAAATCAAAGCTCTATTTGTCAATGGGCACTCTGAGAGCACACACTGACAGGGGACCCCTGTATCCAGTGAGCCAAACCCCCTCTGTGGGCGCCGTCATGGGCCTCCAACCTCCAGGCACCAGGTCCGTATCCTGACTTACCTGCATCTTCTACACCGAGGCAGGAACAAGGCAGATATAGATTCATGGCGTGGCGGGGAGAATGACATACAAACGCAGTTAGAATTTCTAAATAACACCTCCTCAAGGATCCCTTTTCAACTTATGTTTCCAACTCTCATTTAAAACCACTCTAATTCATGTGGAATTTTAAGCTATGGAAAACATAAGGAGGATATGCTAAAATATAATTTTTCCGTAATGTTGAAATAAGAATTGCCAATCACTTTTGCCATACGTTGCCTTAGTCTGTTAATTTACAAGGCTGCTGGATCACCTTAGAGGAAGACTGGACCCAGTCTACTATGTCTGTGATGTGACCGCTGCACCTAGAGGGTGAGAGTGACTTTAGCTGTTTCTTACCTTGATCCAATGACATCGAAAAGATGCTGCCAACGGTCATTGATCTTGTTGAGCTTGTCATCAATCTCAGCTGCCCTTGTCTTGCTGCTGGCCTTGATCAACTGGTCACCCATCTGTTTTAGCTGCGACTTGTTTTCACTAAACAAGTTTATTTCTTCCATGCAGTCCTGGCAGAGGCACCAAAACACAAAGCTGGATTATGATCCCAAATTCCCTTCTCCTGTCATGAGCACACACTTCCCTCCGACAACTTTTGAAAAGATTCTCATACCCTTGAATGCAACTGATTCTTCCACAAGCAGCTAAAAAGTCAAGCATTGTCACTAGGTAACACTGAAATGCGTAAGGCAGTAGTTACTTTCTCTTTTTTTGAGTTGAAATCTCACTCTGTCGCTCAGGCTGGAGTGCAGTGACACGCTCCCGGCCTCTGCAGCCTGGACTTGCTGGGCTCCGGTGATCCTTCCACCTCAGCCTTCCAAGTAGCCGGAACTACAGGCATGTGGTATCACGCCCGGCTCGTTTTTGATTTATTGTAGAGATGAGGTCTTGTCAAGTTGCCCGAGTGAGTCTCGAACTCACCGGCTCAGTCAATCCTCTCGCCTCGGCCTCCCAAAGTGCTGGGATTACAGGCTGAGCCACCAAACCCGGCCTGTAGTTATTTTCTTAATTCATCAGCCCCTCTTGCCTCCCCTCATGAATTTCTTCTAATTGAGCCTACTGGGAGCTGAGGACAGCAGAGCATAATTCAACTAGCTTCCTGTCAGCGACAGTTTCCCTGAGGTTTGACTGAATGTTTCGGGTGATTGCAGCGAACTTGTTCTTATTACCCTTCCCAGTGAGGATCAGTGACCATTTCAAAATTATAAGCCTCGTGGCTGTTGGCCTCACCCCTTCGGCAATGGGCACTCCTTATCAATAACAGGCTCATGCCTGTAATCCCAGCACTTTGAGAAGCATCCAGGAGTTGGAGACCAGCCTCGGCAACATAGTGAGATAACCTCTCCCGCTTCCCCCACCTCCATCTCTACAGAACACAAATAAACAGTACTGGAATGGTCTCACACTTCCCATCTCTCTTCCAACTTTTCTCTAACAAGGATCAAAAAGCGTGAGAAAGTCCCTATGTCTAAAATGCTACTGGGAACACACCTTTAACATTCTACCTCTTTGGAGCCTGGGAGTCAGAAAGGCAGAAAAATCCACGGTAGTCATGACTGCATCCACGTGGGTACCCCTCCCTTACCTTCTGTAACTTTTCAATCATTTCTTCAATGCTAATATCTGCGCTCTGCAGAACTTTGTTTTCCATCTGCACCAGCCACGCGCACAACTCTTTATTCTTTTCATTGAACACGACCCATGAATTGAGTCTATCTTCAATCTCTTGTTTACGTATAGCCACCTGTGAACGAAAATGCATTTGGCAGCTGAGGGCAGCCAGGAAGTACAGTGCTTGCCTCTCCCCAACACCAAAAGGACTCTGAGCTTCATTCACTTTAATCACTAGCTCGATAGACCTAAATCTCTCTGGCTTGGCCTCTTGAAAACCTAGGTGTTCTTTACACCTTTGATAATTGCCATAAATAGTAACCAAATAAAGACTGTACCTGAAGTGTACCTGACTGAAAAGATTGAGTTTTAACCAATGCAAATCTACTCTTATCCATTTATGTTAAAAATTAGAGACAGGAAAGGTGAGATGAATATATTAAGCACTACCCAAATACCCACATTTCTTTTGTTCCTTGTTCTTTCAATAAGCCATTTGTTCACTGTTTACTGCATGCTAATTTTAACTTCAGGACCCAAAACCTTTCCCTTTTAACAACCGATCAAGACTCCACACCTACAGAAGGTCAATGTCCTGCCCATTTAATTTAAAAACTATAATCCAGATGCAGTGTAAACCAAACATTTGCAATGCAAATGGACCAGGAAACTGAAATGTCCAAGTATCAGACTTCAAAATAAAGCAGAATAAAACAAAACCAGAAACAATGCACATCACTCATTCAATCTGCCCTACCATTATGCACTGTGGCTTTTGGATGGAAACCGTGAAAATGTCACCAAACCCCCCCAAAATACCCAATGCTCCGGTATGCATGAACAACCCCAGGCAGACATCAGCAAAGGGTCCTCCTCCTTAAAGGCTTCCAATTTATTATGTAAATACATATAAATGTAAATAATGCAAATCAGCTTTACTAAACCAGGTTTTAAAACGTTTAGAATCTTTGGGTTAAAGGGGGTTAGCCAAGAGCTCTTTTGGTAAAGATTTAATATTCCTCTTAAAAACAGGGAAGCCAAGGTTGAACTCCCCAGGACATTCCTGCTATGCACTGAAAGCTCTCTGCTCTTTTCAGAGGTGAAAATACCGAATGTTTACACATCCTACCCAGTCAAATGTGTTAAAAAGGCTGAAAAACTATCCCTAGGAAAACAAGTTTGTGTTTCCATTCCTCGGGGCATCCATTTCTCGGGGTATCCAGGTAATTTGTACAGCATCATTCTAATCGATTTCATAAAAGCAACAATTAGGAACATCTGGGCCCCAGTCTTTCTCTACCTGAACTTTTAGGATACTCTTCATATATTCTAAATACTTTCTTTTGCATAAAGTATGAATAAAATTCTAAAGGGGCATTTAAAATTAGGGTCCATCGTGAATATTAAATACTAAAATAAAGAAGGAAAGTGTCATGAATTTCAACTTTTAAAATACATATCATTTTAATTCACAAAAATGAGATTAAGGAATTTATTTTCCTTAGAATTATATGTTCTTAGAACAAAAGATCTTTAAGACTATTTGAATCCTTTAATTCCATCCTGATCCTGATCCTGTCACAAACACACACTGTATAATAATCTAACCACAATCCTACTCTTGATAGAAGCAATCACCTTAGACACTAAGTGGAGCAGTTGATTGTGTCTTTCGGAGAGTTTTAGAACCCAGCTACCTGAAATAAACATCAGATTGCATGTGAATGCAGAGCGCTCCTATAAAATGGTCCACTGCTGCTGGGCTCTAAGTTAAACCCTTGCTGTTAGGCCCAGAAGTTACCCTGTAGTAACAGATCTCTTCACTGAGTCCTGGTTCTGATAAACTGATTAGTACTTGTCACCTATGCAAGCCACATCTGATCAGAACTGCAATTTATGTCCCCACTTATAGGTGACTTTTAAAAAAGCTCATTAAAAGCGTGCGAAGTTATAGCATTTAGCCCTGGAGAAACAAAAGGGTCACATCTGTTAAACCATGCTGCTGCCTTCCAAAGGAACAGCAGCCAGGCCAAGGGTCCCACCGCAAAGGGCCTCCGGTTGGGTGAAATGACGCTCCTTTTTACTTTGTCTGGCCTTCAGAGACAGTTCACTCCACTCCCCAGCAGCCGTGCCCTGCAGTTCACTGACTTACTCGTAGGCAGAGGTCCTCCCATTGTCTGTGCAAATGCTCAATTTGCTCCTTCAAAACCATCACGTCTTCCGCCAGGATGTGCCCGGTGAAGTCTGTCTTCATAGTTTGGACTTCTTTCAAGTTCTGAGTCCAGTTCGCCAAAGACTTCTCCAGTTCCTGCATTTAAACACAAGAAGGGAGGAAAACCTTCAACTCAAACTGCTGCTGTTTCCAAACCTGTAGGGTAATCCTTTGATTAGACTCTGGGGGAGGGGAGGCCAGGAAGGGGGAGGGACCATCAGAATGAGAAACAGCCCTGGGTCGGCGCCTACCGTTGTGGTTGGCGGGTTCTCCACCACCTTTTTCTCAAAGGGAATCTCTTTTCTACCTTTATTTTCACTTCCTCAGGGAGTTCAGATTTTTATATAGTTAATCATATCTTAAAGTTATACACCTTTGTTTAGCGGAAAGAACATTGGGTCTTATAACTCTTTTATACACACACACACACACACACACACACACACACACACACACACACAAATTTTTAATCCAGAAGCTATGCTACAGATAAACTGTATATAGTTACAGGTAAATGGTATAAATTAAACTATATTACAGAAAAATGGTATAATTTAGAAACAATGTCACAGATAAATTATATAATTCAGAAACTATGTTATAGATAAATTGTATAAATGTTGATTTTCCATTCTTAAAAATGCCTAAGAAATGCATTGCTGCTACTGGGACAATCATAAAGTGGCAACATCATCTGATGAAAAGGGATTTATTTTAGGTAACTTTTGAAAAGAATGAGTAAGTAGAATGGAAGAAGAAAAATAGTTTTCTAATCATTGGCAGAGATAAGTTAGCAGATAAATTTCTCTGCCTATAGAAACATCTATTAGAATGAAGTATTCGTCAATTTAAGTTTTTCTAAATTCTAGGATTTAAGCAAGAAAATTACTTTCCTAACAGAAGAGCTAAAAGAAAACAGCCCAGACCCTCCAGAGTCCTCCAGGCTTTACTATGCTGGCATGTCTTTATGCCTTGGCACATTTCGAAGGTCTCTGCTCCTATCTGTCAGCTGAAATCTGAAAGAAGACAAGATACTATGCCATTTCTATCAGGAATAGGTCTGAAAGGTGGCAACCCTCACGATGTATTCAGTTTGATTGATTTTAGAGTTCTGAAAGCTACGCGGGCATGATTTCATAATTTACCAACAAGAATTCATGTTTAATCAAATGACCTAGAGAATTCTTTTTATTTGTTCATTTTCTTTTGAGTCGAGGTCTCACTCTGTCACCCAGGCTGTGGCACAATCATGGCTCACTGCAGTCTCAACCTCCTGGGTTTAGATAACCCTTCCACCTCAGCCTTCCAAGTAGCTGGGACTACAGGTGTGGGCCACCATGTCCACCTTATTTTTTTTATTTTTATTTTTTGTAGAGACAAGGTCTCACTATGTTGCCTAGGTTGGTCTTCAACATCTGGGCTCAAGTAATCCTCCTGCCTCAGCCTTCCAAAGTGCTGAGATTAACAGCATGAGCCACTACAGTGGGCCCTCTTTTTAAAGGTTGCATAGAGATTAAGAAATAACACCTTTCTTAGAAGAGAAATCATTATGTACTTTGTGACCTAGTTTTAGTCTCATGATTGATTCCAGGAAAGTGGATGAAAGCAGATTCCACAGCAAAACACCATGGGCAGCTATATCACGTTTGGGGCAACTCATAAATGAGGCACACCACTCACTAACTGAAACTAGAGCCGGGCACAGTGGCTCACACCTGTAATTCCAGTACTTTGGGAGGTTGAGGTGAGAGGACTGCTTGAGCTCAGGGGTTTGAGACCAGCTTGGGCAACTTGGTGAGACCTCATCTCTACAATAAATTAAAAAAAAATAAGCCAGGTATGTAGTGTGCACCTGTAGTTCCAGTTACTTGGGAGGCTGAGGCAGAAGGATCATCTGAGCCTGGCAGGTCAAGGCTGCGGTGGCCATGAGTGTGCCACTGCACTCCAACCTGGGTGACACAGTTGAGACTCCAAATCAAAAAAAAGAAAAGAAAAGAAAAGAAACTAGAGAGCTGGAAAGCCACTGAGCGCAAACATCGTTTCCCAGTCAGGTGCCAGGAGGCTCGGCCTGTTCCAGGTCCTGATTAGAGATGCAGATTTGCGGCCTGCACAATAGGTGGCCATGCTTATATTATGTACAGCTCAGTTTCAATCCATTCAGACTGGATACTTACAGTACCAACAAACAAAAGGAGTAGAATATTCGAATATGAACATTTTTTGGATTTTTTTGTTAAAAACATTAAATAAATTTTTTGGTAGCAATAGGGTCTCGCTATGTTGCCCAGGCTGGTCCCGAATTCTTGTCTCAAGCGATCCTCCTGCCTCGGCCTCCCAGAGTGCTGGGATTACAGGTGTGAGCCACTGCATCCAGCCACTCATTTTTATGATTCTTAATAAATATTGCCAAGTTGTGTTCTCAAAGGACTGGCTGTATCCATTTCTCCACATACTTTTTGCTGTTGAGTTTTATATATTTGGGGGGAAAGTTTGATGGATAGAATGACTCCTAGTTATTCTTTCAATTTGCATTTTAAAATTACTAGCCTGGAACGCAACCTACTCCTTCATCCTGATGTTTCCACAAAATATTTAGTTAATTCCTACGGGCACTATTCACATGTCTCTTAGGCAGGGTGGACTGTCAGCTCCACACTGGCAGGGACTGTGACGCTATTGCTCACCGATACAGGGTCCAGCTCCAGGGACTGGTTAATAGAAAGTCCTCACATACCAAAATGTATGATGGAAAGGAAAGCCATTTGTGTCAAGAGCCTTAAAATGTTCAGACATATTAGGTGAAAAAAGCAAGAAGCCAAACAATGTACAGAGCAAGGTCTACTGTAGCTGAAGATCACGATTTGTACAAACACGTCTAAAACCCAGCTTGGCCAGGCTCAGTGGCTCAGCCTTTAATCCCACGCTTTGGGAGGCTGAGGTGAGTGGATTGCCTGAGCCCGCAGATTCGAGACCCGCCTGGGCAACTTGGCGAGACCTCATCTTTACAATAAATCAAAAAAATCAGCTGGGCATGGTAGCGCATGCCTGTAATTCCGGCTACTTGGAAGGCTGAGGCGGAAGGATCGCTGGAGCCCAGCAGGTCGAGGCTGTGGTGGCCGGGAGTGGCCACTGCACTCCAGTCTGGGCGACAGAGTGAGACTCCAACTCAAAATAAATAAATAAATAAATAAATAAATAATTAAATAAAATAAATAAAACCAAGCTTGACTAAACATTCCAAATTTTAGTCCTCTCACCTCAACCTCCCAGAGAATTCTTTTTTATTTATTTATTTATTTTCTTTTGAGTCGGAGTCTCACTCTGTCACCCAGGCTGTGGCACGATCATGGCTCAGCAACCAAATGGTCAGCCAGAGAGCACAAGTCACCATCTTCATTTAACCAGATAAATTGTCTATACCTCAAAAATGCCTGTAAGTTTCCAGTTGTTCATATAACACGTAACATGTAACCTCAAGCTGTTTGACTGCAGAAAGTGGGGCGCTGTTCAGGCCTGGACTGGATTCTCTATAACAGCAGGGTGGCATTTAAACTTTGGCCTGTGAATTGAGTTCCCAGTGGAATCATCAAGTCCCATTTCTCTATATGTTCACTTAGGAAAAAGAAGGATCTCCAAATAAAAGGGTATAGAAGTAAATATTGGCCTGTACTTGCACGGTGTAACTTTGGAAGAAAATACAACAAACTGGTAACACTGATTGCTTCAGTGGAGAAAAACTGATAAGAGAAAAATTTACCATGTATACCTTTTGCATCTTCTGAATCTTGAACCATGTGACTACATTACTTATTCAACAATTATTTAAAAATAAAAAACGTACCAAGGAATCAATCCTTCCATAAGTTTCATGACCATAAATGTTCACTGTAGCAATTTTAATCACAGTTAAGTTAGAATATATATAAAAAGATGTGTAAAGAAATTATGAACATATGTAGAGCGAGAGACAGCAGCACGCACATGCATGCAATTATTCCACCCATCAACATGATTATAACAGAAATGTAATCTTATGAGGAGGAAAGTAAGGCTCAGACTGGTCAAGTGGCTAGCATCTCCTCCAAGTGTGTCAGGAATGATACACACTGTCCCAGACAGACTTCAGATTAATTAAGATCTTTTTGGAATATGGTCATGGGTTGAATGAACTCAATGCTCTTTGCCTCTTTCTGATTCTTTCCACTGATAAATAGGACACTGAGGCTATGGAGCTGAAAGGATCCCACTGGAAACTGAGAAGCGTGATACTTGAGAAAAATTATGACTCCTCAAGGGTTTATATTTCACATTCCACACAGGTTTCTAGGCCTCATGGAAAGAAGCTCTATGTAGCAACTGAGAGCATGATTCCAAATTCTCTCATTTGTTACCAAAGTCTTGCTCTAAACTTAACAATGTGGAGATGGTAGAAACTTTGAAAATCAGGAATTGACGAAACTTGTTAACCTAATAAAGGCACTGACTAACACATCACCAGCAAATATCATGCTTAATGGTGAAATGTTAGACTCATTTTCTTTAAAATCAGGAGTGACACGAAAGAGCCAGTTACCAATGCTTCTCCTTAATAATGTTCTGGCCAGTGTAGAAAGAAAAAGGGAAAAAAGTATATTAAAAGAAACAAGAAAAAAAGACATCTTATTATTGACAGATGATGACACCTAAAAGAATAGACACCTAAAAGAATGCATAAACTAACGACTGGAATTAACAAAAGAGTTGAGCAAGATGATTGAATATAAGATAAATATACAAAAACCAATTGTATTTCTAGGCACCAGCAATAATCAGTTAGAAAATATAATTGGAAAAAGGCAGTATTTTCAATAGCTTCAAAGATGCACACCAAGAAATAAATCTAAGATGTATAAGGAAAGTTATAAAACATGATTGAAAACCACAAAATATGATCAAAGGGAAAAATGCACCATATTCATAAACAGGAGTACTAAACATTTTTACCTCTCAATCTATAAGTTCAATGCGATTCCATTCAAACTCTTATCAGGACTTTTCATGGTTTAACAAACTGCTTCTAAAAGTTGAAGATCAAATACAAACCAGTGTGGAAGAACAAAGTGTGGGTACAAAATGCACCTGAAATGAAGATTTGTCATAATAAAGCAGGGTAATCAAGACATCTTGATATTAAAGCTGAGATGGATCAGACCAGACCAGTGGAAGAGAGTAAAAAAGAACCGAGAGATAACGCCTGTGTATGTGGAAGCTTGATATTGGACATTAGGATATTCATCCACAGGTGTCAGGATAAGTGGTTATCCACATGAATAAAATAAAAGGGGGATCTTTTGCCTTAAAACATTTGCAAAAATTAATTCCTCAATGACTAAAGATGTAATTGTAAGAAGCAAAACCTGAAAACTTTCCGAAGGAAATGTGAGAGTGCATTTTAAGATTTTTGTATCGATATTTTCTAAATGAAACAGAAAGCACAGATCATTTAGGAAAATACTGACAAATTCACCCACATTAACATAACAAGATATCTTCTGTTCGGTCAGCAACACCAAGAAAAAGTAGAAAAACAAGCTCTCAGATGGGAGAAGGCATTTGCAATGTATATACTCAACAGAGGAGCGATATTTAGAAGAAATAAGCAAGCCGGCTTGGCTCGGTGGCTCAGCCTGTAATTCCAGCACTTTGGGAGGCTGAGGTGAGTGGATTGCCTGAGCCCGCGGGTTCGAGACTTGCCCGGGCAACTTGATGAGACCTCATCTCTATAATAAAATCAAAGATTAGCTGGGCGTGGTAGCACACGCCTGTAGTTCCAGCTACTCGGAAGGCTGAGGCGGAAGGATCGCTGGAGCCCAGCAGGTTGAGGCGGCGGTGGCCGGGAGCGGCCACTGCACTCTAGTCTGGGTGACAGAGTGAGACTCCAACTCAAAAAAAAAAAAAAGAATGAATAAGAAGCACCTTTAAATCAATAAGAAAAAGTCAGCCCAACAGTCAGATCAGTAAAAGACATTAAGTAGGCCATTTACAGAAGGGCAAACCGGATGGGGCAGTACACATAAATCCTAGCAAATGCTGAAAGGCTAGCAAGAGTTAAAAAGAAATTATCTGACAGTACCAGGTGACTGGGGAAGGGACTCATCAATTGCTTTATAGTCCCATGATGCACACCATGCAACAGTGAGAAGGGATAAGCTGATGTCAACACTGATGACCATAGCGAGGGAACCATGCTGCATTATATATGCTATCTAGTATGGTCCTGTTTATGTACAGTTTAAAACCATATTTCATTAAGAGCTAAGTACATGTTCTTAAAACCACAAAGAAATGCATAAGAATGATGAACACTGATTTTAGGGCTGGGACTCCCACGAGGGAGAGGAAGTACACTGGAGATCATATAGGGCACTTGCACTGGTCTGTAATGTTTTATTCCTTCAGCTGGGTGATGGTTTCATGGCAGTCTGTCATATTATTTGTTATGACTTTGTGCACAACAGGAATTTTTTTTTTTTTAATTTGATCCTGGGTCTCACTATGTTCCCTGGGCAGGAGTGCAGTGTCGCAATCATAGTTCACAGCCTAGAACCCCTGGGCTCAGGGGATCCTCTTGCCTCAGCTTCCTGACTAGCGGGAATTACAGACAAGCACCACTGCACCCGGTTAGAAATTATCATCACAAAGAAGAAATAGGAAGAAAGGCACTAATTTCTGGCACAGCTTGAAGTATGAGACTACCCATTTCTTCCTAATTTTTTCAATTTGTCCCCTGAAGACACTGAAGGAAGAAAAAAGAAACATGTAAAAGACCATTCTAATAGGCTCTCAATGTCTTTTAGACATCAAACCTGCAGACAGAAAAAGCAGCATGGATTTTCTGGCTAGAAATTCTACTGACCTAAATTCCTACTCATAAGTTTGCTTTGTCTTCTGCAAACGCCTAAAATATCTAGAAATCTTTGCTATTGTGGCAGAATATAGGTTGGGAGGCTTTATAAAACCGCTTTACTTGAGCAAAAAGCTCAACCTACTGGCTTTAAAAAAAGAATTTTTATTTTTATTTTTTTTTATTTTTTGAGTTGGAGTCTCACTCTGTCGCCCAGACTGGAGCGTAGTGGCTGCTCCCGGCCATCACAGCCTCGACCTGCTGGGCTCCGGCGATCCTTCCTCCTCAGCCTTCCAAGTAGCTGGAATTACAGGCACGCGATACCACGCCTGGCTGATTTTTGATTTATTGTAGAGATAAGGTCTCGCCAAGTTGTCCAGGCGGGTCTCGAACCCGTAGGCTCAGGCAATCCACTCACCTCGGCCTCCCAAGGCACAGGATTACAGGCTAAGACACCGAGCCCGGCCAGACTCTCATTTCAAAGACAAGGTCATTTGACAAGGGAACAGCTTTTACAATCATCTCAGAGACCACCTCTTAGATTCCAGAGGTGGAACAGGTGAAAAGATGGCCTGAAGGAGGGAACACCCAAGACCCTAAGAAGTGAATTTCTACAAAAGTCTTATCATCAATCAAAGATCATAGAAAGCATTGGCTGTAACTCCTTAAGGCACCAGGGTGCTATGTTAGAAGATAGAGAAAATACTTTCCAATTCAACACCAAACTGCAACTCAGAAATAGGCAAACAAGCACTTCAAACGCTCAAGAAATAGCGAAGTGACTTTCTCGCCCACGAGCTCTGATTTCGATACCTTCATCAGCTCCTTTTTGTTCTGAAGGTCCTCGTGAAGTTCTGGAAGAGGGTCTTTACTCTGTGCCTTCAAAACTTGCAGCCTGTTTTTCAACTCCTTGATTTTCTTTTCACACTGGTCCCAGGTCTATTTGAAAACAGTTTTGAAATTGCTAAGTACTTTTCTCTTTAGAATGCATTGTAGAAACAGAATAGCTCATTTAACCCATGTAATCTTTCTATCAAGTGTTTCTTTTTTTATATAAATCACACAGAAACCCAGTTACTCACTGCAAGCAGACTGTGGTCTAAAAAAGTAGAAAGAACAGTGGTATGACACAACACTTCTTTACCGCTCTACCTGTGGCTCATTTCAACTACTGGGTTGGCCCATGCTTCCTCCCTCCCCATATATTTCTCATCTATACATCGTTATTTTTTTTTTTTGAGTTGGGGTCTTACTTTGTTGTCCAGGCTGGAGTGCAGTGGCACAATCATAGCTCACCACAGCCTTGACCTCCTGAGCTCAGGTGATCCTTCTGCCTTCCCAAGCAGCAGGGACTACAGGTACATGCCTCCACACCTGGTTAATTTTTTGATTTTTGTAGAGAGGAGGTCTCGCTATGTTGCCCAGGCTGGTCTTGAACTCCTGGGCTCAAGAGATCTTCTCTCCTTGGCCTCTCAAAGTGCTGGGATTACAGGCGGAAAGCCATAACACCTGGCTATTTCTATTTTGATTTTGGAAAAGTTTACAACTAAAAGACTATTGTAAGAATTGGCTGTTAGCACTTGCAGGCTTGAGTATATGCCATAATTGCACTGTTAGGCAAAAGCATTCATCACTTTTTTCGTCTCCTTTTCCTGTGTCACCCTCCTCCTGGCTCTCGTCCCTTGCTACAGCTTGGCATCAGCGACCTTTTTACCTTCAACATTCACTCTCTGCTTCTCACCACTGCCTTGACTACCACCTTCTGCATAAAGCATTTTGCTGTTTACAAAGTATTCTTAGCTTCATTAACTCATTGCAACTATAATAACCATAGGAGCCAGACAGGGCACATATTATCACATTTAAAATGGAGAGAGTAAGGTTCAGAGAAAAATGACAGGCCCGTGGATATGAGGTTAAAAGCCTAGTCTCAACTGCTGACCATTTCTTTTCCTCAAACTTTACACTACTGAGCAAAAAGATGCCTGTATTTTCTTTCTTTTCTTTTCTTTTTTTTTAAGCAGGATTTACTGAGAAGACAGAAAAGTTCCCATAGTGGGAGGGGACCCGAAGGAGTTGCCCCTGTATTTTCTTTTTCTTTTTTTTTGAGTTGGAGTCTCACTCCATCGCTCAGGTTGGAGTGCAGTGGCATGTTCACAACCACCCCAGCGTCAACATGCTGGGCTCCTGCGATCCTTCTGCCTCAGCCTTCCAAGTAGCTAGAACTACAGACACACACTACCATGCCTAGTTAATTTTTTTTTAACTGTAGAGACGAGGTCTTGCCAAGTTGCCCAGGCTAGGCTCGAACCCATGGGCTCAAGCAATCCACTCGCCTCGGCCTCCCAAAGTGCTGGGATTACAGGCTGAGCCACCGAACCTGGCCTGTATTTTCAAGTTTAGGTGTATTGGATTCATCAGGATATGTTTCTATTTCAGAGGCTACTAAAAGTAGGCAAACATATGATGAAACACTACTCAATTCCTCAGGACAGCAGATGCCTAAGCATACTTGGGTTGCCTCAATTCTACACCTCACTTAATGGGAGGCCACCTGTCTTGCAATATCAACTACCTGGAACTCAACTAAGAAGAAAGCAAAGACAGAAGCAAAACCTCTCTCCCACCAAACCATTTCGTTTACATCGTGCTGTACAAATGTGGCACATGCTCAACATATTTGCTAGTTCATGAATTTAACACAGTTCATGCACCAAATAAAATTTATAGGCAGACCTTTATTTACAGGAGAGATGCTCAGGCCCACATTCAACATATATCTTCCTTCCTTCTTTCTTTCTCTCTCTTTCTCCCTCCTTCCACCCCTCCCTCCCTCTTTTTAGAGATGAGGTCTCACTATGTTACCCAGTCTGGTCTTGACTCCTGGGTTCAAGCAATCCTCCCACCCTGTCTTCCCAAGTGTTGGGATTACAGGTGTGAGCCACTGTGCCTGGCCATATTTACTCAATTCAGAAAACCTCTCTGATAAACTGTTTATCTAGTAGTGGTGCACGCAACAGATTAGAGAGGAGAGTGAACTATAAGGAGTAGATGAGCTTGGAGAAACAAAAAGCAAAAACAGATGGCTTAACATTAAGAGAGAGAAAGACAAGCCATAAAAACCACATCAGAACTTAAAGAACACAGCAGGGCAGGGAGGACTGTAGGTTCAAAGCAGCTCAGAGACCTTGAGAACAACTTGGTATTTTTAGCATAACAAAATGATGGCTTTCCTAATAATGACTCAGTATAAAACATTTTGGTTCTTAAAGATATAATCATAAATTATTTGGAAAATTCATATTTTGGAAAAAAGGTGCATTCTCTGATAATAGCAGAAAAATGAAGTATCCCTGTGCTTATTTTCACAGATTATACTCAAGGACGGAGTACATGGAACACTGGCTTGTGTACTGAACTTTTGACGACTAAAAATACATTTTCTGTTTCATAAAAGCAAATACATTAGTAGAATCTCAAATTTCATTCTCTTTCTCTCTCTCTAGTATATATACACTGGTGTCAAAAAATGTATACACATTTCAAAAGATGTTATCTATGTATTACTTTCCGAAGTTGAATTAAATTATAGTAGCAATGTGTAGTAAGACGTTCACTCACTGTGCTTCTGCCATTTCTTTGACTGTCCTGCCCGTCCCATGGTGATGCTAGCATTCATTTGATTAACACCATCTTGTGAGCAAATGTCATACTTAAAATGCATATACATGTTTCTAGCATCCCATTTCAAAGCTATACTATTATTTCACATTAAGTAACTGGCATGACTCAAGGATTAGTAGAACTCAAGTTGCAATACGCTGATATTGTGAATTCCTAAAATCATCCCCATTTTCACACAGTATACAAAAATCGTGGGTACTGGAATTGAGTATCTTGAATGGCAAAGTAAAAGGTAAGTTCACCTCCATAATGCTTTGGAACTGCTTAATCATCTCTGATAGTTGGAGCTCTGTGTCCCTCCAGCTATCCTGAAGTTGGCTGATTCTCCTGTCAAGGAACTCTTTGGTCTCTGGGTTAGCTGTGTTCCGTAACTTTTCTCCAGCTTCCAAGGTTAGTGCATAGGTGGTCTGCCATCTCTGAAAATGGATTTGTTTATCCTAAAAAAAAAAAGGAAGAAAGTAACTTGCTTAAGTTTCTCATGTGATCAAAATGTGACTGTGTGTGTTTGTGTTTTTTCCTTCAGAGCATTCCTTATGTGTTAAGTTAGATATAAATTATACAAATCTGGTCAGAATATATACACGCACTCATTCACATCAAAAGCTAAAGCTTCACATCAAGTAGACAAGTACGCTACCAAAGACTGGTGAGGTAAGATTCCTAGCGTAATGATTAGAAACACAGAAATAAAAAAATATGCTTCACAGAATAAGTCTATTTGGCTGGGCATGGTGGCTCACACCTGTAACTCCAGCACTTTGGGAGGCCACAGAGGTTCACACCTGTAATTCCATCACTTTGGGAGGCCGTGGCAGGAAGATCGCTTGACCCCAGGAGTTTGAGACTAGCCTGAGCGACATAACGAGACCTCATCTCTACAAAATATCAAAAAGTTAGCTGGGTGTGGTGGCATGTGCCTGTAGTCCCAGTTACTCAGGAGGCTGAGGCAGCAGGATCACTTGAGCTCAGGAGGTCAAGGCTATGGTGATCTATGATGGTGCCACTGCACTTCAGCCTGGGCAACAGAGTGAGACCCTGATTTTAAAAAAAAGAAGGCGAATGGACATCTTGCAAACAACCACCACCTGTGGTTCTCACACTGTGACACAGCACTACCTTCAGCTCATGGATCAGGCTTCTGCTTTGGTGGAGGCCGTAGTTCTCCTGACCCTTAACTGCAGAGAGTAGGTGGCTGATGTCAGTGAGGAAGTGGAGCAAGTCCTCCACGGAGGTTGTGAAGTCCTGCCACCTCCTCACCCACCCGTCGACATCATCCTTCCTCTGCCGAATGCCCTGGGCGGCGATCCGCCATCGGTCCACCAGCTTCGAGAATTCTGAAACAAATTCAGGTCTAGGGAAAAACAAAGGGTTAGAGAATCCCAGCATCAACACTAGAAAAAAAAAAAAAACTATCAATGGTAGATGTACAAGCTCAGAGTCACTATTTATACACATAGTTTCCATGAGACAAAACCTAACTTCTTAAAATCTGAGTATTGGCCGGGCATGGTGGCTTAAGCCTGTAATCCTAGCACTTTGGGAGGCAGAGGCGAGAGGACTGCCTGATCCCAGGGGTTCAAGACCAGCCTGGGCAACTTGGTGAGACCTCGTGTCTACAAAAATTCAAAAAATTAGCCAGGCGTGGTGGCGTGCATCTACAGTTCTGGCTATTTGGAAGGCTGAGGCAGAAGGATTGCCAGAGTCCAGCAGGTCGAGGCTGGGGAGGCCGTGAGCGTGCCACCGCACTCCACCCTGGGCAACAGAGTGAGAATTCAACTCAGGGAAAAACAAAAACAAAACCCCAAAAAGCCAAACCTAGTACTATTCCACTAAAATATGATGGTGGGTCTAGCAAAAGGTGTTTGGCCATATGATTGTGTCACTGTACTCCAACCTGGGCAACAGAGCAAGACTCTGTATCTAAATAAAAATAAAAGCAAACAATCAAAAAAAAGGTAGTTACCTATACTTGGTAAGTGGATATATATATATATTTTTGAGTTGGAGTCTCACTCTGTCGCCCAGACTGGAGTGCAGTGGCCGCTCCCGGCCACCGTAGCCTCGACCTGCTGGGCTCTGGCGATCCTTCCACCTCAGCCTTCCATGTAGCTGGAACTACCGGCATGCGCTACCACACCCGGCTAATTTTTTGATTTATTGTAGAGATGAGGTCTCGCCTGCCCAGGCGGGTCTCGAACCCGCGGGCTCAGGCAATCCACTCACCTCAGCCTCCCAAAGGCGCGGGATTACAGGCTGAGCCACCGAGCCCGGCGAGTGGATATTTTTAAAAGCTCCTGGGGTGCTAACCCTAGCCACATACCAAAGAAAAAAGGTGTCACTGATGTTTTCAAGGCCACATAGCAAGACCTGGTCCTAATGTACAGTCGGAAGACTGGCCCCAGGGGTGATGGTCAATAACAGGGCTGTAGGTGCCAACGTGGTCAAGATTCACGTGGCGGAAGGCCTGACCTGACCAACTGACTGCACTGCCTTCCCTGTGCCCAGACAGCTTACCTTGTCTGTATTTCTGTTGTGTCCAGAAGTTGTAAGGACTGGGTGACATAGGCATCAGCAATTGTCTGGTTTATAGAAACTTCAGCTTCTAACATCTATGGATGAGTCCAAATATAAAATATCAGCGAGTAGAATTTATTTTATGAATCTCGAACTTACAGTTCCTATTAAAATCTAAGCTCACAGAGGTTTTAAGGGACGATACATTTTCAAATTATTTGGGCCTAGCTGCTAAAATGCTCAACTATCACATCAATATCACCTATGAATATAATCTAACAAGTGAATAGCTCTAATAATAACGGTCTGATGTCCATTTACTATTTCTAGGCACTGTGTAAGCACGCATTGTCTCATTTGAGTCTCAACTTAAGCGCTATTAGGATATCCATTTGAAGAAGAGAAAACAAAGGTACAGAGAGGCTTAGTAACTTATTCGAGGTCACACAGCTTTCTGGCAGGGCCGACTTTGTTTTCATCGGATGATCTTAGTGTAAAAATGTAGACTCAAATCAGTTACATTAAAAAGCTACAGTGAACAAATCATGCACACTTTTGAAATGCACGATCAGCCTGTAATAACCACCAGGAATATTTTCAAATGCACATCCACACAGACATGGGAAAAACGTCTCTGAAATGATCAGTGTTGCCGTTATCATTACACTAGGTGCTTCACAATGATAGAGAACTACTCAGTGAAAATGCAGAGATGAGCTTAAGTGCTTTAAGATCCTCTTGATAGATGCAATGTTTGCATTCTGTGGAAGCAAAGCTGTGCGAGAAGCTTCTATATACTGTAGAAAGCCTGGGAGTGCTGTTGCTAATAAAACAGACCAATAGAACAACATGTATTTAGGAAATGGGCAAGAGTTTAACAAGTGAGCAACTGACAGATAATTTCCTTAAAGACATATGTTCTGTATTTCGGGGTTGAGAGGTACTCCCTGTGTTCTATTTAAATCTGTTGCTCCCTGCCTCCTGCCCCAGGTTGGCAGAGGACACAGGTTTACCTCATAGGTTTTCTGCTGTTCCCGGAGAGCTGGAAGGCTGTCGGCAATGTTCACTTTGAGTGTCTCTTCTATCTTCTCCAAAAGTTGAATCCACTTTTCACAGCAATAGAGAAATTTTTCTTTCAGTCCATTTCCCTGAAGCTCACTGCAAAGGTTCAAAACAAACAATCACATCCATCTAATAATTCCATTCCTGCGCTGAAGCTGCAGATTTTAACTGCATTGAAACAATGGCAGAGATGGGATGCTCTGACCTGCAGCGCTCCAGAGCCGTGGCTGTGGCCCGAATCCACTGCCGGTTCACATTCTGTAGCGTCCTTAGGGCTACATCACTGAGTGGGAGCTTGAGGCTCACTTCATTCAAATATTCGATATCAGGCGACTGGGCCGTCAGTGTCAGCACATGATTCTATTAGAAAAAAATTAAAGGCCAGATTTGCGGATGTCAGTAAGTTATCTAGATGACAAAAAGCCCTCCTTGTCTCAAAGACACAGGAAAATCAAAGCCTAAACAGGCAAGCGACTTGTCCATAGTCAAACAACTGGTTAGTGGTAGGGTTGGGCTTTTTCTAGAATACAGCCCAGGAAAATAGAAGGTGCTCTCAGAGCAGCCCAGGAAATAGAAGGTGCTCTCAGATTTTGTCTTGGAAGAATACAGAAAAGTTTTTTTTTGGTTTTGTTTTGTTTTTGAGTCAGGGTCTCACTCTGTTGCCCAGGTTGGAGTGCAGTGGCCTGATCACGGCTCACTGCAGCCTTGACCTCCTAGGCTCAGGTGACCCTCCAGTCTCAGCCTCCCAAGAAGCTGGGACTACAGGCATGAGTCACTGTGATTTCTCTGTAGAGATGGGGGTCTTGCTATCTTGCCCAGGCTGGTTCCTGGGCTCACGCAATCCTCCCACCTCAGCTTCCCAATGTGCTTGCTGGGATTATAGGCATGAGTCCCTGTGCCTGGCATGGTTTCGTTTGGTTTGGCTTTAAGGATCAACTCTGGACCTTCAAGTTGCAGTTAGTCTGCCAACAACTTGACCCTCAACAGGGTAAGCATGGAGCAATGAAAATTTGACCCTTCAAATAACCCAAGCAAAGTATGGTACTGAAACACTCATATTTAGACAGAATATGAAATCACCAAGAAAGCAAACTCATCAAAATGCTATTTTTTAAAAAGATATTCCAGGAACAGCCTCTAGATTGATGATACATCAAGGAAACAACCTTAATATCTAAGTTATCACTCCAGAACTCTGCTCTAATATCTTAGTCAGGGTCAGCAAACTTTTTCTATCAAGGGCCAGATCATAAGCATTCTAGGCTTGTGTGGGCCATATGGTCTCTGTAGCAACTATTCAACTCTGCTCTTGTAACATGAAAACTCTCACAGACAGCACATAAATGAAAGAGCATGGCTGCATTTTAATTAAATTTTATTGGTTGCTGGGTGCAGTGGCTCACAACTGTTATCCCAGCATTTCAGGAGGCTAAGGTGGGAGGACTGCTTGAGTTCAGGAGTTTGAGACCTGGAAAACATAGCGAGACCTAGTGTCTACAAAAAAAAACAACAACAAACAAAAATTAGCCAGTGTGGTAGTCCCAGCTACTCGGCAGGCTGAGATGGAAGGATTACCTAAGCCCAGGAGGTTGAGGCTGCCGTAAGCCATGATTGTGCCACTGAACTCCAGTCTAGGTGACAGAGTAAGACTCCAATGGCCATCCCCTTCACCTCCCCCCAAAATAAATTTGATTGGCAAAAATTGGTGGTGGACTTAAATTTGGACACTGAACCACTGCTTGCTGACTGCTAATCTAGGTTACAAATACTGATTCTTATCTATTGCAGGATAAAAAATTCTTTAATTTTCATTCATTTATGTTTACTAGACTTATTAAGGTAATAGAGAAGGAAAAAATGTATAATTTTTTTTTTTTTGAGTCAGAGTCTCACTCTGTCGCCCAGACTGGAGTGCAGTGGCTGCTCCCGGCCACCGCAGCCTCGACCTGCTGGGCTCCAGCAATCCTCTGGCCTCAGTCATCCAAGTAGCTGGAACTACAGGTGTGTGCTACCACGCCTGGCTAATTTTTTGATTTATTGTAGAGATGAGGTCTCGCCAAGTTGCCCAGGCGGGTCTCAAACCTGCGGGCTCAGGCAATCCACTCACCTCAGCCTCCCAAGGTGTAGGATTACAGGCTGAGCCACCGAACCCGGCAAAAAAATGTATAATTTTAATAGAGCATTTTACTTTTTATCTTAAACTAACCAGAAAAATTCTATTAATCACAACGGCCAATTCACAGATTATTCTGGTTCACTGACACTAACTAGTAAAGACACTGGGATTAAAAAAAAATCTACTAAAAATTACTCCCTATGTTGTCCTACTTTTCCTAGACCTCAGGGAATACAGGACAGGAATGAATGGCATACAAATGACCGTGCTCAAGAGTTAGCTAGGATGCAATCAGATTCTGTCCCCTAACAGTCATTGGCTTATTTTTTATCCTCTGGTGAGTCTGAGCCCCCGGGAAAGACAAATATTGACAATACCAAGAATAAGTCAGGGTTTTCTTCTTTTTCTTGTTGGTAGAGATGCTCCAAGTTCTCTTCTTTGTGCATAATAAGACCTTTTAAAGATTCCAGCCGGTCCCCAAAATCCTTAAACTGTGAGAGAACAAACTAGAACGAGAGAAATTTTCATTAGAGGCTATTTTCATGTGCATGCAAAACAGAATTAAGCACAGCCTTGGGTGCTGGTAAAAGCTGTTTTCAATCCCCCAGCAGCTCATTACTGATTTTCACTCTGTGCCTCTGAACCTTCCTGGATGAAGGGATCACGTGCTTGAGGGGACCACTCACAGGAGATGTTTTCTCTGGCTGGCATCAAGACATGATATTGGCATTCCCTGACCTTCTGTGTAACTTGCTGATAGCTCATGCACTGAAGGCTTTGGAAAAAGTGAATAACAAATTTAAAAATGGAGCCAAGAGCTGTGGCTCATGCCTATGATCCTAGCACCATGGGAGGCTGAGGCAGGAGAATGGTTTGAGGCCAGGAGTTGAAGACCAGCCCGGGCAATGTAGCAAGACCCCTTCTCTACCAAAACTGAATAAATAAATAAAAGGGGGCCATGCATTTTTTTTTTTGAGTTGGAGTCTCACTGTCACCCAGACTGGAGTGCAGTGGCCCCTCCCGGCCACTGCAGCCTCGACCTGCTGAGCTCCGGCAATCCTTCCGCCTCAGCCTTCCAACTAGTCGAGATTACAGGCACACACTACCACGCCCGGCTAATTTTTTAAAATTTATTGTAGAGATGATGTCTCGCCAAGTTGCCCAGGCGGGTCTCGAACCCTCGGGCTCAGGTAGTCCACTCACCTCAGCCTCCCAAAGGTGCGGGATTACAGGCTGAGCCACCGAGCCTGGCTTGGGGGGGCATGCTTTAAGTAGCTAGTACTATGACTCAGCTGCTCCACTCAGAAATCTGTGAGACCTGAACAGTGGATGAAATGTAATACATCCATGATTTGTTGAACTAACATGTTCCTTCGAGAAGAAACGATTATTTAAAATCTGCCCATGCGAATGAAGTTAGAATTGTGCGTGTTTAGGGAAGCTTCAGTCTGTTGTTTCCCTAAGGAGCAGTCCAGACAGCACTATTACTTCAGAGGATACTGGGACAGAGGGTAGTGTGCAGGTGTCCAAGACAGAAACTTGAATGGAAAAATAAGACGAACCTCGACTTCATTTGCTTTTGCAAGCAGCATCTTTTCCAGATAAGTAGCCCTCTGGAGGGAGTGCAGGTGGCCAGGGAGGAGTGTGTGGGTGCTGGGTTCTGCAGGTGATGGGAGTCGATCCAGGAGGGTAGAATTTTGGAGAAAGGCTTCTTTTGTCTTCTGCACATCATGCTGTAGCTCCTGAAGAAAAAAAAGTGTCACAAAACAGTCCCTCCTCCTCCCACACCACAATTCCCTACCCCCCGCTACTCCATCAACATCTAGGGGAATATCTGCTCACAAATTGTGGGAATGGCTCTTTGTTATTGTTTATTTTTTAGAGAGACGAAGTCTTGCTATGTTGCCCAGGCTGGTCTCCAACTCCTGGGCTCAAGCAGTCCTCCCACCTCGGCCTCCCAAAGTGTTGGGATTACAGGTGTGAGCCATTGTGTTTGGCCATGTTTGTTTTAAATACCTGAAAAGGCGGAGCTTTCTTTAAATGATGTACATCCCTGGTGCTATTCCGAAATCTGTCAGTTTAGAGCTGAAACTGACCAATGACCAACAGAGGTCAGGCTCCCAGTATTTAGAAACTGGAAAACACCTGGGTGGACTCATGTGCTTGATAATTCTAACTATCTAACACCTTAGGGATCTGCTTTGATATCATTTAAAGAATCAATGTGACATTGTCCCCTGCCTCAGACTTCTGACACAGATGAATTTATTTGCAGAAAACTATAGAATCTCATTTATCAAGCTGATTTTAGGGCTACTCTGGAAATACTGAGTGTGTGATATTTCTGGTTTTTCGTTTTGTTTGGAAGTTCATCGGAAATGCAGACCATCTCTGTTGGATCCTTGTCTCTCTAATGAGATTGGTTACTACTTTTTAATTTCACCTACAGTAGAGGAGATATAAAAGGCACCTGTTCACTCAGTTTAACACTAAGAAGTAATCAGTTTCTAGACATTCATCACTAACGGTAATAGGGAAACACCACAGAGGGAATTATACAACTCTTTCACATGTGCTAAAAAGCACTCTATCCACAGAAGGGGCATGCTAACATGGCACCAAGTCCATAGTCATTGCTAAAGGAGGAGGTTCCATATGTATCATTCTTGGACAAGCACACGCAGTTGAGACACTTTTGCTTTTATGTCAGACTCCATATGAGGCTTTGGATTTGGAGATTTAACTGCTAGAGTGACAGGGCCGACTTGGAACGTGTGGTGTCAGGTCCTGACCCAACAAGCTACCTGCTGCCTGGACCTCACCTCTGAGCCGCCACCTGGTCCTCCCAGCCTGACCTATGTCCTACATGACCTGCTCACAGCACCTGTCCTAACTTGACTTCTCTGTCCCTGCGGTCTGTCTCATCCCCAGCTGTCCCCTACCAGTCTTGTCCATCGGGCTGACCTGCCTTGGCTTTCCAAAGGGGCTTGGCACCCACCTTTATGTCTTGCAGGGCTGGAGGCAGGATCTCTGCCAGGTTGTTTCCCGACATGTTGATGCTGGCGAGCTGTTGAAACTTAGCTTCCTGCTGGGCCAGCCTCGTAGTTGCTTCAGTGTGAGCACTGCCATAGGCCTTCCAGAGTTGCAGCAGATGCTGGGCCTTCTGTAGTTGGTCTGCCACGGCTTGGTTTACCTGGGTCCACCTGTCAGAGCAACACAAACACAACCCTCATTCCCTCCTCTTCCTTGTAGCAAAAGGACAGTGAGTTATGGGCAGATGGATCATGAAGAAGACATTATTAAGTGCTTTCTTCTTAATGGCATAACATTATATAAACCATTACATAACTAGAAATCCAAATTAGGCTATTTATTGACTTTGTAAAACTCAATAAAAACTACAAAATTTGTGATTGGCAAGAAATAGCTCTTTTTTGTCAAAGGTGGAAAAAGTACTGAATTGTGTGCCTGGTCAAACACCCCCTCATGGGAGTGGCTCACAGAATACGAAGGCTATCTTTACATAGGCCTTATTTAAATTGTGTTTCTAGGCTGGGCTCAGTGGCTCAGCCTGTAATTCCAGCACTTTGGGAGGCCGAGGTGAGTGGATTGCCTGAGCCCGCGGGTTTGAGACCCGCCTGGGCAACTTGACAAGACCTCATCTCTACAACAAATCAAAAATGAGCCAGCCATGGTAGTGCATGCCTGTAGTTCCAGCTACTTGGAAGGCTGAGGCGGAAGGATCACCGGAGCCCAGCAGGTCGAGGCTGCGGTGGCCGGGAGCGGCCACTGCACTCCAGTCTGGGCCACTGAGTGAGACTCCAACTCAAAAATAAATAAATAAATTGTGTTTCTATCAAATGAAATTTATTTTGCAGTTGCAAAAACAATTATAAAAGTAGAAAGAAAGGAAATTGTTTTATACCATAGGTAGACTATAGTATTTCGCCTTTCTGCAAATAGCCTAGGTTTTGCTATTGTTATTAAGTGCCAAATTCTTGTTTAGCATGGATACTGAAGAAGTCTACAATTTTTGCTGTTATATATAATGCTCAGATACAGCTTTGTTCAAAAGGCATTTTTTTTTCTGTATTTCAAGGCATTAGACTAGATTTCTGGGAGAATTACTGGGTCAAAGAATGTAAATATATCAATATTTGTACAGTTATGGGTATATATGAACAGTCTGAAAGCCTTGCAATATTTACATGCTAACCTGAAACACATCAAAATACTTTCTCTACAATATCCTTAAATCCTACTAAAATTGGTTTGGGGGGGGGAGTAAAAAACAGCATGATTGCTTTACTCTTATGTATTTCAGATATCTTGTCTTTTTTATGAGACTTTTCCTAATTGTAAATATAACATATGCTTATTATAAAATAAAAAGAAAAAAACACCCCTTAAAACATGTATGGATCTAGCTATCTGTCTGTCTACCTACCTACCCACCCATCCATCAATGAGACAGTTACAAAATGCCTGGCTCCTCATTTATCTAGAGGTAACTACTATGAGCAATTTGGTACTCTTTGGTCTTTTGTGCTATGTGTACTTTTCAACATGGCTTCCAACCTGTTCTCGTGTCAGTAACTGAATGTGGACAGGCAGGGTGACAAATGACCTCCTTTAACAGCAAAGTGCACTGCCACTTGCTTTGAGGGTGGCCCTCTGTACTGCATGTGGAGTCTGACATGCTTCCATGTTCCTTCCTCACTACCCTCCTCCCTCTCTTCTAATAAGGACTGAATCAAGAGCTGAGGACACCCCTGCAGGGTATATAATTTGGTGTCCCCTTGTTCAATAATTGTTCAAGGTTGATTTACAAGAGAGGTTTCAAGGTTGAGTTCATGGAGGAAGGGTGAAGAAGGACATTCAAGATGGCATAACATTTCATCGCTGTCTCAAATGGCTTTAGGCCAACTTTCATATCTCACTCATTAAAATAAAAATCTTGGCCAGTGGGTGGCTCACACCTGTATAATCCCAGCACTTTGAGAGGCGGAGGTGAGAGGATTGCCTGAGCCCAGGAGTTTAAGACCAACTTGGGCAACTTGGCGAGACCTCATCTCTACAACAAACCACAAAATAATCCATCAGACGTGGTGGCACATGCTTGTAGTTGAGCTACTTGGAACGCTGAGGTGGAAGGACCATCTGAGCCCAGCAGGTTGAGGTTATAGTAGCGATAAGCATGTCACTGCGCTCCAGCCTGGGCAACAGAGTGAGACTCCAACTAAAAAAAAAAAAAAAATCCTTGCAATAAGCTAGGGTCATACTCCTTAGAAGGAGCTTTCTCATCCCACCATAAGTAGCTCAGCAAATAATTTAATTCCTTCCAACCCCACAAATGATGTTCCCAAGAGATAGTCTAACAGTCTAACATCCTCTTTCTTCCTTCCATCTTATAATGTTTCCAGTGATGTTTGAACGCCCCTGAAGACTGCCTGCCTGGCCCACCTCTTGGTCTGTTTCTGCCTCTGACCTTGTTGCCCTTATTGAAGGCACTTGACACTCAGTCTATACCTTCTGTGAGTAACTACATGGGACCTATAATTAGAGTATTTCCAGGTTGATTCTATCAAACCCTCGCACAAGGAAGGTAAGAGCCCTCATGATTTCCAATCTTACAGAGACTGGATAGTATAAAACCAGTCATCTCAGAGGCATAAGACAAGGCTATGCCACCTCATTCACCACATGTCATTAAAATGAAAATATCTGATCTGTCATTCAGAGCGTACCTTGTATGAGTATCTTGGCATTTCTCTTCGATTATTTCAGCAACTGAGGGACAGAGACCTTTGAGTTTGCCAACAACCCCCTGGAGTTTCTCCCAACTGCCTTCACTGCTCTCAGCTTCATCTTGCAGAGACTAAGAGAACACAGCAGGCATGGAAGGGTTAGAATGGCTTGGCTACTTTTAAAGAAGACAGCAGCTTCTGAACACTTACTCCCGTCTAGCAATCACAGAAACACTCAGATCCTGTAGAACTGGGATAAGCTATCAGGAAGGGAATGAAGAAAACAACTGAGGAGGCATTCCTTACTTGACACTGAACTTTTAAGTCCTGAGTCATATTAATTACATAGTACTAAGGCATACTAAAAATGAAAAAAAAAAAAAGCACAAAAACAAAACCTTGATACTGTGAAATATAGTGGGGCGTGGTGGCTCATGTCTGTAATCCCAGTATTTTGGAAGGCCAAGGAGAGAGCATTGCTTGAGCCCAGGAGTTTGAGACCAGCGTAGGCAATACAGTAAGACCTCATTTCTACAAAAAACAGAAAAATTATCTGGGTATGGTGGTGAGCACCTGTAGTTAAAGCTACCTGGGAGGCTGAGGTGGAAGGATTGCCTGAGCCCAGGAAGCTGAGGCTGCGATGAGCCATGATCATACCACTGCCCCTACAGCCTGGGAGACAGAGTGAGATACTGACTCAAAAAAAAAAAAAAAATAATAACTTGTGACATAATATGAACATGGAAAAATGAAGAAAAATTCAACGTTCGGTTTTGCAAAGTTTTACTGATTCAGTTCATGGGACTCATTCTGGAATTTCCATTTATACTTTCTATGGCACTGTTTATCATACTGATTTGTGCTTCTCTGTGGAGAGCACAAACACAATTATGTCCATCACCGTGCTTCCTCCCATTTGGAATTTTCTGCAACAACATACTGTGCCAAGCCCTGGTTAATTTACCTGAAGGTTCTGCACCTGGCGTTTCAAGGCCTCTAGTGATAGCACCACAGGCTTGCTGTGTTCCACGCAGTACCAGAATCGGATTGTCATCATATTCACTTCCTCATAAAGTTTATCATAAACCTTCCACTCTTGTAGAACTGACTGCATAGAGGTTTTGAGCTGATTGACCTATATGAAAAGTAAAAAACATACTGATGTAGAAGATCATTGAGAAGACTGGGTGTGGTGGCTGATGCCTGTCATCCCCACACTCTGGGAGGCTGAGGCGGGAGAATCGCTTGAGCCCAGGAGCAAGACCTAGTCTCTACAAGAAATAGAAAATCAGCCAGATGTGGTGGCATATGCTTGTAGTCTCAGCTACTCGGGAGGCTTAGGTGGAAGGATCGCCTGAGCCCAGGAGGTCAAGGCTGTGGTGAGCCACGATCATGCCACTGCACTCCAGTCTGGGCAAAAAGAAAAAGAAAATCATTGAGAAGTCATACTTTTTCATCATTTTTTTCCTTCCAAAGAATCTACGAGTGTACCCAATTTAGGCATATCCATATGAGTCTTGGAGGATCGTCAGTGATTAACTGAAGGTGGGAAAGGCAGGTCTATGAACAAAAAAGATATCAGAGAGGACTACATGTTAAAATGGGTTAATGGAAAAGAGTTCTAAGATCAGAAGGATCAGCAGTCAACGAGTTCTGCCTAGGGAGAGAGACAGCCCAGGAAAGAACACAGGGCCACTATTAGAACATTTGAGCACGTGGGTCAGTTAGAATCTATGACTTTTCTGACCGTGGGCAGGCTACTGAACCTTAGAGTCTGTTTCCTCATCCACAAAACAGAGGTAGTAAATGAAAACACAAATGAGGTAGCGCCTGTGAAAATGCTCAGAAAACAGCACCATACTGTAAAGGTAAGATGCCACCCTTAAGTCTGATGGCTACTGTGGAATAAGCACCAGCTGGAGAGGAACACACTCGACTAAATGCGGGACAACTGCAAAGCAGGAGGAAGTACAGCTGTGGGCAGATGGTATGCACTGGTATGTTTAAATAAAGAAGAAAGGAGTTGAAACATTTTGTTACCCACTGAGAACGATCTCAGATATCATCGAGAATATATGAAGCACAACTCAACAATAAAAAGACAACCCAATTAAAAACTGGGCAAAAGATGTGAATAAACATTTCTCACTGGGCACAGTGGCTCACGCCCATAATCTCAGAACTTTGGGAGGCTGAGGGGAGAGGATGGCCTGAGCCCAGGGGTTTGAGAATTGTGTGTGTGAGAGAGAGAGAGTTGGAGTCTTACTCTATCTCCCACTGCAGCCTCAACATGTTGAGTTCAGGCGTTCCTTCCTCCTCAGCCTCCCGACATGGCAACATGGCGTGATATTGTCTCTACAATAAATCAAATTAGCCGGGCACGGTGGCACACACCTGTAGTTCCAGCTACTTGGGAGGCTGAGGCGGAAAGAACATCTGAGCTCAGCATGTTGAGGCTGCAGTGGGCGACAGAGTAAAACTTCAACTTACCAAAAAAAAAAAATCTCCAGAGACGATATACAAATGCTGAAGAAACACATGAAAATATCCTCAACATCCACAGTTATTAGGGAAATGCCAATCAGAATCAATGAGATATTATTTCACATCCACTTTGATGGCCATAAATAAAAAGTCAGATAACAAGTGCTGGTGAGGATATGGAAAAAACTGGAATCCTCCTGAATTGCTGGTAAAAATGGAAAATGGCATAGTCACTGTAAAAAAGCAGACAGTTCCTCAAAAAGCTAAATTGAGTTACCAGATGACCCAACAAGAGAACTGAAAGCATATGTTCACACAGAAACTTGTACACAAATATTCACAGGAATATGATTCATAATAGCCTAAAAATGGAAACAACCCAAAAGTCCATCACCTGCTGAATGGATAAACTAAATGTGATCTATTCATACAATGGAATATTATTCAGCCATGAAACAAATGAAGTGCTGATAAGTACTGTAACACCGATGACCTTGAAAATATTGGGCTAAGTAAAAGCCAGACCCCAAAGGCTATAAGTCATATGATTCTATTTATATAAAACCTCCAGAATAGGTAAATTCATAGAGAAAGCAAGATGAGTGGTTGACAGGGACTAGGAGGAGGGAGGAAAGGGGGGACTGTTCATGGGTGTGGGGGCTTCTTTTTGAGGTAATGAACATATTCTGTAATTAAATAGTAGTGGTGGTTGCATACTTCTGTGAACATACTAAACACCACTGAATTGTTCATTGAAGGGCTGAATTTTGTGGTATATGAATTATACCTCAATTAAAAAAAAGGATCTGGGTTGAAATGGAATGTGATCACTATGTGATGGTGAGTTTCTATTCTCAGCCTAACAACTACAGGGGACACTGGCACAGTCGCAGTGAGAGAGAGGCTCCTTAATCTCTGCCTCAAGCAGGAATAGATTTAAAAAAAAAAATCATGGGCCAAGGCGCAGTGGCTCACATCTGTAGTCTCGGAGTTTTGGGGGGCCAAAGTGGGAGGATTGCTTGACTCCGGCAGCCTGAGACTAGCCTGGGCAACACAGGGAGACCTTATTCCTACAGAAAATTTTTCAAAATTAGCTGGGCATGGTAGCATGGGCCTGTAATGCCAGGTACTTAGGAGACTAGGATCGCTTGAGCTCCTGCCAAGAGCTCGAGAGTGCAGTGAGCTATGATCACGTCACTGCACTCCAGCCCGGGGGACAGAGAGACCTGTCTCTAGAAATAAAACAAAAAAACACAAAGTGGGCAAGATTTGAGACTCATATTGGCAAGTAAGTGGGCCAGATACTGTATTGATAAGGGTAGGATGGCTCAGAAAAGGAAACCAAGCTATTCAGTTAGAGAAATAAAGAAGAGCAGTAGAGAGGGATCTCCTGCAGATGGAGCTCTCTCTCAGAAGCTTCTAGACTTATCTGGGTGGCAGGAATGATTCTGACACAAAGCCCTGCATCATCTCAGAGCCTATAGGTCCCCAGCCACACAAGGACTGTCATGGTTCATGCTGCACTGGGCATTCATGGCTTCCACATATAAAGGTGGTACAGCTTGGGGCACTCTAAATGGTGACCCCCGAGAAAGTTATAGCTTCATGGAGAAGACATGGAACACGTGGCTTGAAAGAAAGGATAAGAAAATCATTAAGTAAAATTCACTACACTAGAAACAAGAGGAAGGAATATTTTCCACATCTTAAAACAGGTCAGCCAGCAGGTCAGCATTTACTGAGCACTGAACGGACATCATATCAAGGCAGAAATAAATGAGTAGGTGTCATCATCCCCATTTTATAGACAGAGAGACTGAGGCTTAGAGAGGTCAAGTAACTTAAATAAAGCCCCAGATTGAAGATGGTGCTGCCAGGATCTTCACTTAGGCAGAGACTGCAAAGCCCTTGTTCCTATAAACACTAGGCTATGAGGACTCTTGTTGGCTTACAGAGGATGGGTTATGTCTTCTACCCTCTGCATTTTAAAAATAATACTTGATGGAGTTATAATTCACATACCATACCATTCACCTAGTGAGACTCGGACTCAAAAGAAAAAAAAGAAAAGAAAGCAAAGAAGAGAAAGATAGTATTATAGCATGAATCAGTACCTCATTCCCTTTTATGGCTGAATAATATCCCATTGTATAGACAGATTACATTTTCTTTATACTTCAATAGTTGATGGATGTTTGGGTTGTTTTTGCTGTTTGGCTATTATGAATTGTGCTGTTATGGACACTTATGAATAAGTTTTTGGTATGGACATATGTTTTAATTTCTCTTGGGTCACCTATCTAGTAGAATTGCCCAGTCATATGGTAACTGTTTAACTGTTTGAGGAACTCCCAGACTATCTTTCAACACAGCTGCGCCATCTTCCATCCCCCCACAGCAGTGCATAAGGGTGGCAATTTCTCACATCCTCACTGACTTGTCTGACTTTTTATTATAGCTATCCCAGTAGGTATGAAGTGGTATTTCATTGTGGTTTCCATTTTTATTTCCTTGATGGTTAAGGATACTGAATATCTTTCCATGTGCTTATTGGTCATTTGTATTATTTGTCTTTTTATTTTTATTTGGTTCTTTGTTCTTTTATTATCAAGTTGTAATGATTCTTTTTACATTCTATATATAGATCGCTAACAAATACATGCTTTTAAAATATTTTCTCCAGCTGGGCTCGGTGGCTCAGCCTGTAATCCCGCGCCTTGGGAGGCTGAGGTGAGTGGATTGCCTGAGCCCGCAGGTTCGAGACCCGCCTGGGCAACTTGGTGAGACCTCATCTCTACAATAAATCAAAAAATTAGCTGGGCGTGGTAGCGCGTGCCTGTAGTTCCAGCTACTTGGAAGGCTGAGGTGGAAGGATTGCCGGAGCCTAGCAGGCCAAGGCTGCGGTGGCCGGGAGCAGCCACTGCACTCCAGTCTGGGTGACAGAGTGAGACTCTAACTCAAAAACAAACAAACAAAAAATTTTCTCCCATTTTGTAGTTTGTCTTTTTTTTTTTTAACTTTTTTAATAGGTTTCTTTGAAACACCAGAGTGCTCAATGTTGATGAAATCTGATTATCCTGTGCTTTTGGTGTCTTTGAAATCACTGTCTAACTCACAGTCATGAAGATTGGCACCTTCGTTTTCTTCTAACAGTTCTATAATTTTGCTCTTAAATTTATGTCTTTGGCCGGGCTCGGTGGCTCAGCCTGTAATCCCGCGCCTTTGGGAGGCTGAGGTGAGTGGATTGCCTGAGCCTGCAGGTTCGAGACCCGCCTGGGCAG